GCATTTTCATTCCTTTATAGTAAAACAAACATAAAAAACATTGCCAAAAAATCTACTCAAGGAAGTATAATTCAACATGTCAAAGGCAAATTATACTTGAATTAATTTAAAGAAAGTATTCTAACATTCACACTCGCACATATAAAACTTCATTGTAAAACCAAAGCACCTAAAGGCAAGTTGCTATAAAAATCCAGATATATGATAAATTCTCTGCAAGTCTGCATATCTCTATGCATGTGAGCATAGTTAAGAATACCTGTGTTTTGACATTTTGGCACAGTATCATCTTATACATTCTAGTATTTTCTTTGCTGGCACTTTCAAAGGTTAGCTTTCAGTTGGAAAGAGGGAAGCCTTTGAATTTTTGTGTGGCACATGTCATTGATGGAGTGCCACGCCATTAATACTTCTGTAGAGAAACAACAGTTCTATTCTGGTGTGAAGATTTTATGAAGTCTGTCTGCAAATGTGTCCCTAGGAACATGAAAACTTGAGAAAGGAGAGGATCTGAATGATATTTTTGCTTTGTCCTGTACTTTTTATGAAAGAGAATTCTATATAAGAAGCATGGTAATAAAATGATGCAAAGATGGTGACAGTTTTGGGATCCCTCCTACCCTCTTTCTTTTTTTTTTTTTAAAGAGAGAGTGAGAGAGGAGAGAGAGAGAAAGAGAGAATTTTCAATATTTATTTTTTAGTTCTTGGCGGACACAACATCTTTGTTGGTATGTGGTGCTGAGGATCGAACCCGGGCCGCACGCATGCCAGGTGAGCGCGCTACCGCTTGAGCCACATCCCCAGTCCCCTCCTACCCTCTTTCACGGGACCATTATCACTTCTGAGTTCCTGCTAGTTGCTCTTTTTACCTGGAAGTCTTTGATTCATTATTTATTTACACTAGCATGTAAATAAAATGTGAAATGCGTAGTTCCCTCTGACATTTTTTTCTTAATCTCAGGTTTATCTGAAGGATTTTCTTCTTTTTCTAGATTAAAATGGCTAATATTTATGAACTTCAGGAGCCAGGATCCCATTATATGACTTTCCTAAACTCAAATAAAAGACTAAAGTGTTCAGCATAATCTCATCATGGCATAGAGATTCACATTTTAGTTCAATGATTCCCTAGAGATCAAGCTAAGCTATTCTAAAGCAAAGGTAATTAATGTAAGTAATCTTAAAAAAAAAAACTACTTAAAAATTCAGGTTAGGTACATTGTGAAAATTTTAAAAGTGGAGTAATTCCAAGTATCCAATATTTATTTTTCTAATTGCTGCTGGTGGCAGGAAGTCATAAAACCTTAGCCAGTTTATTTTCAGGTAATTTTCCTTTAAATTCCTTTTATCTAGAAAAGAAGAAAACTGTAGGCATTATCAGAGAACTAGAGGAAACAAAGAGGAATCACTGTAGAAAAGGCCTGTAATACAATTGCATCATTGTTATTACTCCCTGTCCCACAAATGTTCAAATTTGTCTGGAAAATGAACAGGACAAATATCTGTGCACAGTCACTTTGTCAACGTAGGTAAGTTGATATCTCTGACGATTTATGACTTTCCCCTCGTTACTTCTCCTCTCCCATCCCCTGGGCTGTCTACAGTCTAGCACAACTTAAGCTAATCTAATTTCTACTAGAGCAGCTACTAAAAATAAATAAGTGGAGTGTATAGGTGTGTGTGAGAGGGACAGAAACAGAGTGAGAGATCAGAATTTGTTGCATGTTTTAAAAAAATTTCCTGTATGTACTGGTGATAATTATCTATTAAATTATATAAGGATACTAAGAGCAAATAACTGATTTTTAAAGCATATAAAAAGTGTAATGGGGCTTGGACTGTAGCTCATTGGTAGAGCACTTGCCTAGCATTTGTGAGGCGCTGGGCTCAATCCTCAGCACCACATAAAAATAAATAAATGAAACAAAGGTATTGTGTCCATCTACAACTAAAAGACATTTTTAAAAGTATAATGAAGACAAAGCATAAGAAAATAATACCCATTTTAAATGGGTCCTAGTATAATATTATTTTTTTTTTCAAGTATTGGTAGATGCAGCCATAAAATTTTTCTACTTTTTTCCTTTCAAAATGCAGCCAAGAAACAAATATCTCTCTTTGCTTTCTTTGCAAGAAAGAACCAGTCTGGATTATTTCCAGGCCATCCAGACAGCTATTTCTATTGGAAGGAGTGACCTCTGGAACGGACTAGAACATAGCAGGCTGACCAGACAGAGGGAGGAGTAGGCAACTGGGAAGGACCCCAGCATGTTCTTGTGAAATCTCATTTGAAGATGACAATGAAAAGTTAAGGAAAGATAAATGAACTTAAAGATATTTAAAGCCAATGAAAAATGTGTGCCCACATATGGAATTCAAGTGAAGTTACAGTGTGAATTTCTGACTATCATTCTTTAATACACATGCTGAACAAATACAGCTCTCTACCCTTTGAATGTAGGGAATGTTTCTTAATTATATAACATTCATCTCTGAAGCTCAATAATCATTCTTTTGTTTTCCTACTTCAATTGAGCCAGGCTTCCTTAGCCTGTGATTCTATGGTTGTTCTTAGATGCTTTTAGATAATTATCAAGAGCTTTATTTAGCAAATTATTGCTGTGGAGTGTTAACACAACAGTAAAGATTTCATTTACTTATAGAGGAGAAAGTAGTTATCTTCTCCTAATATTTATCTAGAAGATATGTTATTCTTCTCTAAGACAGCACAAGAAACCTGAGTTCACATCATGAGCAGGAAGAATGATGAAGAATGATTTAACCTTTTCCTGAATGCTTATGGGTAAAAATGTTGTGGTTGGCACCAAAGAGGATACAAGGATGTCAAAGCAATCCTTTGCTTCAAGATGGTGGAACAGAAAATTTCTAAAGAATATTTTATTAAAAATAAAAAGTTGGGTGTTTCCAAGATTATATTTAATAATTTTTGAAAAAATATTAATAAGTTGATTAAGCCAAAGGTACCAAGAAAATGCTATGGGATTTCAGAATATTCTTTAGTAGAAACAGTGTAAACAGGAGAATCAGATGATAACTTTTACACAATCAAGTCCAGTCAACTTTAATGAAAATAGAAACACTTAAAAGTCATAAAGAATGTTCTAAATTATCTATAGAGTTGTCTGCAAATTGGAAGAGTTTATTTCAATGAGTTTTGAACAGTCATCTCAACAAATGCCAAATTGTGGCTAAGGTAATTAAGTAAGGTAGATTTTTGCAAATTTTGTTACAGTCATGCTGGTAGAATTCATCAACACAAAACAAAATTTAGTGACACAGAAACAAGGATTTCAGCTATCAAGCTATCATGTAATGTCAGAGAAATGAGGAAAAAGACTTTAAACTCAATGCCTTTTTAAGTATGCTATCTTTTGTGTATTCTTTCACTCTGGCTTAAGAAATAGTGTTGCTGAAAATCTGTGAAGTCAAGTGGAAAAGTAATCTAGAGAAAGGCAATGTATTTAAGTAATATCCTTATTTCATAAAAATTCATTAGAAAGCAAAGAAATAAAAGATTTAATGATTTTAGGGATTGGTGTCTTTGCTGGAGTAAAGGGATCCCCACTATGGATGAATTCAAGAGAAAATTGATTTTGTGGGAGAAAATTTCATAAGCTTGTCACCTTCTACCTTATATAACAACATATGATCAGACCATGAGATGATTGTATAAGAATTAAGGTTTGGGTAAGGTTTTTGAGAAGGGCATTGGAGAGATTAGTTCTTAAAAAATTTGTCTGAAGTTATAAGGAGAAGATACTTACTGTATGAGACACATAAGTCTGTGGAGAACACGAGTCATGCCCATATCAACAATTTGCTAGCTGCTTATGGGGATCCAGTTTAGGTGGAGTCTGAGATTTAGTTGTCAAAAGTGAGTCCAAGATTCAACAAGTTATTTAACAGAGGCTGAAACCCAAAATCCTGAGTAAATATTGAATTTGGAACTATAGTTGGAAACACTGAAATAAAAAAAATATTAACAGCCAGTTTTTGTTTTCACGGTTATAGTAACATCAAAAATAATAAAATATATCAGTGGTTAGAAATGCAGCATCATAAAATCTATCAGAAATTCTATTTGAAAATGAATTCCCATCAAATCACTAAATTAAAAATTTCAAATCCAAAACCCAAGAAACAAGAAGAAAGGAAGAAAATTATTGCCATTATCCTGTCTTGATAAACCTCACACTGGATATCTGACACTATAGACACTAACATAGGAGAAGTACCTGAATTTAAACACAGTCAAATACAAATTTTACCAGGGAAGGTTTTGTTTCACTGGTTTTCATTTAGTAGCTCTATAATTTTCTTTTTCCTTTATGACTATAAAATTACTGAAGGTTGGGAGCCTGTCAATTTAACATATCTATTAGCATATTCACTGCCTGTTTTCCTACCACATAATACATGTTATTCACATTTATTGAGTAATAAAGGAATTTTATTGTATGAATTTGGGAATTATTCACTGTACAAAGGCAATGTACGTGAGACTTGTGTGGTTCTAAGATGATTAACACTATGTTTTGGATAGATTCAAAACTTCTTCATAATTGCACAATTAGCCATAACAAAAATTATATTATCAAGTCCACATTTTGAGACTGTGAGCTAAGACACTCTTTGTCTTACTAGTTTAAAAAGTCCCCAACAATAGGAAGAGATTATTTACATAATATAGTTATGGCACCAGATGCTTCTAGTGAAAGGAACAAAATCGTGACCTCTTCATCAGCAGGATCATGTCCATGTTTTCACAACTGAATGATATTTTCTCAAAAAAGCTAAAATGTGTGTGGGCTGTAGGAAATAAAGTTAAAAGTAAAGACTTTCTCTTTCTTTCCTTCCTTTTTTTTCTTTCTCCCTCCCTTCCTGCTTCTCTTTCTTCAGCTTTGATTAGTAACCAAGGAAATATATTGTACATAGCTGCAGATTATGTCTAGAGATTATTTAATGAGTAAATGATACAATTTAATTTATTTAAAAACTTTTATTCTCAGCAAAATCAAACATATCATTGAGTTTACATAGAAATACAATTTCCAATCATATCTTCATAAAAATGCACTGGTGAAATAGATGTTCATAATTAATGACCAGTTATGCACTATTTAATCATGCCAGTAGCAGAATTGATTACCATTAAAAATTGGTAAAGTAACATCTTAAATGTGCAAATATCCTCTTAGTACTCTATTGTGTTACCACTGATAATAAATGGCCACTAGTGTGTGTGTGTATATATATATATATACATATATATATATATATATATATATACCTATTACATAAAGCTTTTTAAAGTACAATAAAAATACAAATTCTATCTGTTAAAAAAAGCCATTTATGTGGCTTCTAATCATCCTCATTATATAAATCCCAAAATACTATATGACAAACAAAATTTAAAGACTCTTCATTATGAAACATATACTACCTCTAATTAACATATGACTTAGCAGATAATAACACAAACAAGAAGGTTCATATATACCATAAAATATAATGGAAATACATATAATTTTGCATAAGCACATTAGATTTATTTTACTAGTGAAAATGTACCTTAACAATTGAAGAAATTTCCATGAGTAAAAGAACCGATTTATATATTCATTTATTTTTGAGAGCTACCCTCAAACTAAGCCTATATTTGCATTAATTTATTTTTCTTATAATGTGATAAAGATAAGCCACATTAAAATTTTTACCATCAATTTTTGCTATTGTTATTCTGTTATATGATGGGCAAAGATATAGAAAACAAATATTTTTAAATGTCAGGGTTCATCAGCCCATCACAAATAAGGTGATAGAGAATTTTATATTGCTCATGTTCAAGAGGAAGCTGAATAGAAACTTAATTTTCATAACAAATGAGATTTTGATTCAATAAAACAAAGACAAATGGTATTGACTAAATATTTTGATACTTTATATAGATAGCTATCATAAATATTAAAGTATCAAATGAATGGGGGATCAGAAAATAAACTTTGGTGAGGAAAAATATCTCTATCAAAGAAGAGAATATGACATGATGATAGTTCTTATTTAGTGACAAGAAATACAATTGGCAAAGTAAGCATGGTTGCTAGGCATTGCACCTATGGTGAGCATACATTCCAAATGTTTCACATGATGTTCAGATGTCATAGCAATGTAACTTAACATATTAGAAATGAAATTTTAAGATTTCATAACTTTTTATTTTTTCCACATTTATGAAACAAATTTAACATTTTTTAATATAACTAGTAACAATAATTAATATTATTAGCTTGTATTTACTAATATTTGAAATAAATTTGATTGAATTGTTATTGGAATTTCTATCCTTTATTAACCAACTAAAAATTTGTGACCTGGTAGCATAGTAGGCAAAGTTCAAATTTTCCCAACAACGTGAACATTTTATACATAGAATGACATCTGTCAAATGAATGGCAACATGCTTTTTCCTTTGAAAATAGGGCATGTTTAGTTTGGTATTGGTATATTTCTTCAGAATTTTAAACAGTTTCATTAAGGTATGGCTTTTTGAACATCAATAATAAATTAACAGCCTGGAGAATGAACACAAATATCAAGGTGCTAATTATTTGGAACTTAGACAAAGCAGATATTTGCATAATCTCTTTCAATTATAAATTCCACTACAACAGAAACAAATGAATTTTAAAGTATGCTATACATAATACTAAGTTGTTTTAAAATAAAATTACAGATCAACAGTGAGTGTGAAGAAATTTTACCGTGATGACTTTCAAAATATTAAGATATTAAAATATATTTTGGCACATGTATAATACCTTCCAAAGTAATAATGAATGATATGTGTGTATACAAAAAAATTTAACATGGATGAACTCTTGTTCTTGACATCAGCACCTACTGTCTACTGGGTCGAGACAAAATACAGTGCCTTCAAGAGTTAGTCCCATTTTGAACCCCTCCTGTAAGACAGAATAAAATCATTAAAATAGGAAATGCCCATGGCAAAGTAAAATAAAATCGGTAAGTAGAAGAGAAGATGAACAAAAGTTGAAATCTTTGTACTTCAATCAACTAAGAAATAATCATATGCAAAATTCTGGCTTGTCAAATTTTTATACAGATGTACATCACTGGCAGTTCTTTTATACTTATTAAAATTTTAATGATTTAATATATATTTGAGGTTATCATACATGAGAAACAGAAGAAAATAACAATATATGAAATTAAGTACTTTTAAGACTTAAATGCTTCTTTTTCAGTAGAACCTATTTAATAAGTCAATTCTACTGTGGCTTAATTTGTTGAATTTAAAGATAATTATTAATTTAAATATTATCAAGAGAGCTACACCTCATGGTGATGAGAAGTTCAAGATAGCCTGATAATCTTCATCATTTTTTCCTGATTAACTCTGTCAGAGCCTGGGTAAAATAATTTTGTAAATGTAGTGCTGTTTCTGGGTGCAGCAGAGCCCTGTAGACCATTGTGCCTTAGAGAAACTTTCCCAAGTCCTGCCATTGTTCTGCCTCCATGCGCTCCTGTTTCCACCAGTATGTTTTAGAAGTTAAGTTGCTGCTGATTTATTTACGTCACTGCCATGAAAATTTTGTGCTTTTTCTTTCCCCTAACATTTTTTATTAAAACTTTGTGGCAAAAAAATATGTGCTTCTCCACCACAAGCTCTTTTATTTTGCATAATACAATTGAACTGTGGGCCATTGCTAGGTTTACCCTCTCCCCACATCTTCTCACTGGCCCCTAGTCTATGCACACTAGTCTACAAAGACATGAAAAGCATAGACTCCCAACAATCAGTGGAACTAAAGGTCACATTAGAGGTTTCCTTGTGGAACCAATTAGACTACGTATTTAAAAGCATTGTATCTTTCTAAATGCTAATGCAAGCATTTTCATATAGAGGAGATACTATTTATAAACCTGCAAGACACCCTTTGTTTGTAATTAATATTCTAACAATGCTCTTTACTATACGTATAGCATAAAACAAGGCTATCACTGCATTTTCAAAACTTCTTTTCAGTATATGAAATACAATTATATTAAATACAAATACAAATTAAATTCAGTAAAGGTCAGAGTACTGACCATGATTTTTTTTAAGACTTGTTAGTATTACAAAAAGTAATATTTTCCCATATTATGCATAGTTTCTAGTGGCCACCAACTACTTTAAAAAGTGAATATTTTAAACTGAAAATGTTGGAAATAAACTATACTTTCAAAACATTTTATGTGGGTATCTGAAGGGCTATGTACTGTCATCTTCTAGTATATAATGAATGATAAGGGATAGATACATAAGTAGAAGTGATAACTAGAGAGAGAGATAATTACCTTTGGAAAGGACTGATACCATATGTTGTTTTAATTTTATCAGTTCATTCTGAAATTAAACTAGTATCACTTTTTTATCCTGAAAATATTAACTATCAATATGCTATCAGTATTAAAGGCAAAACAGCAAAGTTAAGTAGATATCAAACATTATTTCAATACTTGTTTGTACAGCAGAACAATATCTCCATGGTGATTTTTAAAGGATCTTTTCAAAGTTCCCTTAGGATAATCTACTCATCCTAATTACCACATACATCTTATAAGTCTCCTTGGTTTTATTTCCTCTATAATGAAATTTCCTGCACATTTTCTGACCTTCCTTCAGAAGTTTCATTTTGAGAATCATAATTTAATTAATTCTGCATCCCTCCAAGATTTCCATATTGTCTTGAATCTTAAACTTTTTAATGAAAAATGAATTTTCTTTTCTTTAGGTATTGATGGGAATTATCATTAACTAGTATCAAAAAAAGAATAATTTTATAACTAACATTAATCATATAACTTATATAAAATATTTTGCTCAACTGCATTGCTTATTTGAAATAGACAAAAGCATATCAAGGAAAAATGTGTCATATGTAACAACTGTTTACATGCTGACATAAGTATTTTGAGTCTATATTTTTCCTGTGTATAGTTTTTTAATGATTTTAATGACAGCATAAATAACTTTCTCATTTATGTAATGTATTACATATATCAGCTAAAATTTTCTATTTTCTGTTTTCTCTACCAGAACCAACTTCCTGTATTACAGTTCAAATAAAACTAATTTATCCTGACTATACAATATAATTTAAAATTTTACAATTACTTATTAACTTCCAGTATTTTACAATCGTGAATACAGCTAATATCATATTTTTGTGCATAGAGATTTAACAAATTTCTAATTTTCTCCTCAGAAAATAACAGACTATTTCAAAGATTTTAATACCAGATACAAATTAAAATATTATTAACAAATTACTATCCAAAGGGAAGCTGTGAATGACTTAAAGTGTTTGTTACAGCATTCTTTCACTTGTGCTAATTACTAGTAAGAAAATGAAGTAGTTAATTTGCTAGATCAAAATGGCATTGAAATTCTTTAAATTTGTATGTTTCCTTTTATTAGACAATACCTGTATGTATGTTAGCTGCATGTGGTCTTCTTTTGTGATCTTCTGTTTTTTATTTTTCGGTTGATTGTTTAGTTTCCTAATTTTTGTCTATTTCTGTGTGTGTGTGTGTGTGTGTGTGTGTGTGTGTGTGTGTGTAGTATTTATACATCCCAGTGGGACAGATTATAAAGAAAATTATAAAACTACACGTGGGGTTGGGGTTGTGGCTCAGCTGTAGAGCACTCACCTCACACATGTGAGACCCTGGGTTCAATCCTTAGCACTACATACAAAACTGAACAAGTGAAATAAAGGTGTTGTGTCCAACTACAACTAAAAAATAAATATTAAAAAAACTACATGTGTATATTCTTCCTTATAAAAATCTATCTCCAGTTCAAAAGTCAGATGAATAGTCACATATATTCCAAACATTTTTAACTGTCTAATGCTTTTGAAATTTACTTGGATATTATTGTAAGTTTTATTTACCTGGACATTAATATTCTCCTAAATTATTCACCATTGACTTGACACCATTTGTGTGTAATTCTTTCATCCTTCATGACTTACCCGTCTTGTTTTTTAGCATATTAAATTATTATGGCTCACAAAGTATGTTTCTGGGCATCAATATTATCCCACTGATTGGTTTATAGGAGACATGTGCCACTCTGTTTAAATTATATCAGTTCAAATAACTATATTATAGATTTCAAATAAATAATTTTCTAATTAGTTAAAATGAAATATAGCTTAGCATTTCTGCTTATATTCTTACATGCATAAGACATTCTGTGATTTGAAACTTAATTGAATTCTCTTAAGAATTACTAAGTCAAAATCCTTTGTAAATCAAAGAGGAAAACAATATTTCACTAGGCTTATTAACTCAATGCAGCATCCAGAAACTATTATATTAGCCTTTTACATGATATGCACAGATAGAAATAGTAGTTAAATGTATACAATAATTAATTAGGAACAGCAAGGTTACTAACAAAATTCATCATAGACTTAAATAAATAAAACATCATTTTACTTTAATGTGATCTTACAAGTAAATTCTGCACTAGAAGAAACAATAAAAAAGATGAATAACACACGAGTGACTAAATCATGGAAAAAATAACCTTAAATTGTGAATAGTAAAACTTTAACCACAACTAATGATCTGATACATTCATATGAAATTGCTGTTTGAATATTTATTAAATAAAGCATGCAACATTAAGCTTTTAGTTTTAAAAAGGTTGTAAGTTGTTGAAAATAATATACCAACCATCGCTGGCGCTACCCACCATGAAAGCAGATGAGAATAAAAAAGAGATTAAGAAAATATTAAAAACAGCAAAAACAAAAACAAAAGCACCACAGTTTAAAGTTATTTGACCAACACATCATTCAATCATTCTGATAGTGTTTCTCAAACTTGATTGACACAAAAATCGTGAGATGGAGGCTGGTTTTTTAAAATCTATAGAATTTTTAAATTTTGTGATAAAAAAACCTTCCTAGCCAAGTAGTTTTTATGACCTGCTTCACTCTAACAAGTACTGCCCTATCAGTACCCATGTTTGTGTTGCTCCTACAAACTCATTAGTCTCTGGTTGTATAAACTTAATTGGTTAAATGATGAAAAGAAAAGGAGTTGATTTTATATGAAATACATCATCATCAATAATTAATCATGCAGGTTTTGAGTAAATTTTTCATAGTATTTGAAATACATAAAAAGGTGGGGAATTTGCATAATCAGAAAGGATAGTTATTGAAAAAAGCAGAAATTTAATACAGTCATATTAATTTTAGCCATACGATATCACCCACTCTGTAACATTAAAGTTCTTAATTTGCATTTTGTAGGTGATTCAATGTCATTTTTATTTAATTATTTTTTGCATTCATAATTATGTAATAAATGTAAGGGTAAGTTGTTTACAACTTTTTTGTCAATATTTGAGAAATAAAAATTTAAGTAGATTTTAAAGATAGAAAATAATTTTTCATAGAAAAAAGAACTACAAATCATCCAACTTGAAAAATATTGTTTTAGCATCTACTTTGGAAACACAAGATAAATATGTTTTCAAAATCAACTTTTAAAATGTACACAGTATTAAATCTACAAAAATAAGGGGTTCACATAATACCTAGAAAATAGGACAGTTCAAAATGAGTGGAAGGGTATTTGTATTATTTTTCCAGGAAGAGGAACATGTTTACTAATATTAGATCAGAGTTCACCCACTAAGTTTTTGGGGGTGTATGTGTGGGAAGGAGTGAAGCATAGAGAATGATGGAGTAACTCAGGACTAATTAATGGAAACACCCACTTCATATTGCCTTAATGTCTTCACCATCTCTTCTCACGCACCTTCATCTTATTGGTGTCTATCTGAATTTTACCATATAGAAACTTCTTCATAAATAATAGGGAAAATATAAAGAGAAGACTTTATTCTAGTCTTTTCAAGCCTGCTTATTAATCATGGAGCATTGTATAAAGCTTTTAACCCCAATTTGCTCAATGTTTCAGAACAGTTTAGAATTCAGAAGTGAAAAAGGAGACAGAAATGAAAACCCAACTCACTACATTCCTAAAGAAGCTGTCACTGGGTGTCTGCTTTTTCAATAATAGCCCAGAAGTTATGAACCACAGCTACAATGCTTCCTTTCAGACAGAATGACTTTACTCTTACAAAGATTTTCCCACATCTACCCATTTACAATTTTGAAATTGTTAAGACTGAGAAATCTTATAAATCTATTGCAATGACCTTTTAATTTCTGGATTTCAAAAAACAATCCATTAGAATCCATGCCACATTGTTAAAAAAAAGGAACCATCGTATTTCCATGGTAAATTGAACCATAAAAATAAAAATCAACAACTTAATCCTTATCAGTCGTATTTTTAGAACTAGATGTAATTTTTAATGTAGTTACTTTTAAGTAATTTTTATATTGACAATAATTAAAGAAAAGAGTAGTTTTCATATATAAAATTTTCTTTGTCCCAAATTTAAAAGAGATAAGCCATTTATAGTTCAATGTGTTAAGATGGTTACCTGCATCTCATCTAATTTTGATTGAATATCTGGAGGGAAATCCCCTGCTCCACAGTTAAATGGGTCAAAAGGTTCAGCTCCAAACAGATCCCGTTCTAAAAGGAAGAAAGTATTTTAGTAAAGAAAATGAATAGAAACAAATTGGGGCAAATCTGATTTCAAAGGCAGGATTATATATAATAAATTATATATATATATGAATATGTATACATAAATATGTAAATATGTATATATATATATATATATATATATATATATATATATGATCAAATAAGCCTCTATACACTTACATTTTATGTTGAGCTTTCTGGAGTTTAGACTAAGGAAGTAAAAATCCATTTTATGAGATTAAAAACTGTTTGATTATAAAGAATTATAATCCAGAGATGTTTCTGTGTCTTTAATGTAGAAATATCAACCTCAATAAATAGTTGATAATTAATATAACACTTGAATGTTTGCAACATGTAAAATGTACTAAAATTGATATAATTTTCATCAAGATTTTCCTAGTTCCATTTATTGTTATGTCACAAAAAATTAGAAAGTGATAAGACCAAAGAGATTAGTAAGTAGTTTTACATGCTTTTATAACACTTTTTACTCAGAAAAAAACAAGGCATTTTATCTTATGTACTATGAAATCATATCATCTTCATAGATAGCCACAATGAGACAAATTTTGAACAAAAATCCTCCTATATCAGCAATAAATTTATATTTTACAAGACACTGCTCTAACCCCTGAGCTATGAAACTTTCATCCTTATATTTATTTTTAAGAAAACAGCAGGAAAGCAGTATGAAAAAAAGTTCTATTTGTGTGTATTCTTAACTATGTGCCACTTTGTGTCATTAAAGAAGTAACAAAGTTAAAATTATGTTTGTAACTTATAGAACACGTGTGACCTATTATATACTTTAAAAATTTGAAAAATATTAACATTTGATTCCTCTGAATCAATTCAAATGAAATCTGAATTGGAAAATATTAAATACTGTATAGGAAGAATATTGATACATATTCATATCATTTTTTTGCTGAAAACAAATTCTCAGTGGGGTTCAATGGTATATAAGAAGTAATATTTATGCTACTTCTTTTTATCATTTCCTCTAAAATTACTCAGGCACTCTCATCATGAAGGATCCTTGCTTTTCCAAGTTCCAAGTATTTTTCAGTTTCTTGAGTTATAAATAAGTTAATAATTGGTAAAATGTTTGGGAGTTTCTGGAACTGATGAGTATTATATAAATAAGGGGAACATATAATTCATTATCCAAATAAGGCACTTCTAAAGTGAAAGGAGCATTCTCAACAATTACATTGGGACAAAATTCTAAAAACAGAAGTATTCTCAACAATAGGAATGTATTGTTAATTTCTATGTAACTGATGAATATACTATTACTGTTTTTACCTCCCTCCCTCGGTCCTACAGGGCTCAGGCAATAAATAAAAATTAGAGAACAGAGGAAATTTTGTTTGGAAGCATGTTCTGGTAACCATGATACTACAAGTACATGACCCAGTGCTTTTCACATAGTAGGTGTTTGTTTAAAAGAACAGATTAACCTAAATGACAGACTGCTGATCAGAGAGAATAGAGATTTTCATAAAATAGACTTTTCTCAAATTGGAACTACAGAATCACTAGAGAGTTCAGGTGGGTTTTGGGGAGTATGTGGTGTGGGTGGACATGCTGTCTTTTTCTGACAGGAGGTTTCCCAACTTATTCTCATGAGCCCATGATTCTCTTCAAAGTTAAAGAACAAACCACCTTGCACATTAAGAGACTAATTCCATGTAAATTAATAAACACTACAGAACTCTTTGGTGTTATTTTTTTTTGTTTTGTTCAGCTCACGTGGATATCAAATTCAGAACAAAAATTATAAACAAAATTAAAATTAGTTGAGTCTGATGCAGGGGTAAAAGAATAAAATCTAAGAGGTGGTGCTTCACTTAGTCATTCTTTGCTCTATTCAGAAAATTTATTGAACATATATATCATGCATTTTCCTAGACAATGGTTTAAAGTAGCAAAGAAAGGACATTGTTCATTCATTCACGGAGTTTATAGACAATTAGGGAACATAAGTGAATCTGTGAGGAGGTCTAAATATGTGAAAGGCAAGGATAAAGAAAGAGATGCAGACACACTCATAAGATAAAAAACAAATTAAAAACACTCTATCATAACATCAGGGTGTTGGGACATTTTCTAAAACACACTATGATATGTATGTGATGAATTATTTCCTCAATTTTGCATTGGCACAAAATATATCCAGAGCAATTAAACATATAATTCAACTAATGTATTGCAATACATAGTTTAGTTTAAATTTATTTTAACTGATAATAAAAACATAAAACATTTTATTTATGGAATACCGTGTGTGTGTGTGTGTGTGTGTGTGTGTGTGTATATATATCATATAATTTTTTTATCAGATGAAGCATATCTGTTAGAGCATTATACATAGTCGTTGGGCTCATTTTAACATAATCATACATGCATGAAATTTTATGTACTCAATTTTTATTTCCTGTTCCCCAATCTTTCCCTCTCTTCCTCAGTCTCCTTTACTGATATTCCTTTCGCTCTCAAATTTATTTACTTCTGACTGGTAATTTCTACATAAACATAAAGGTGGAATTCACTGTAGTATATTTATGTTTGCACAGACTGTGATTTTGTTAATTTCATTCCACATTTCCTCTTCTTTCCTGCCCCTCTTTCATCCCTCTTGATCTCCTTCTGCTCCACTGATTTTCCCTATATCTTTATGATATTTGATGCCTTTACCATTTTTTTTTAAATTGTGCTCTAGCTTCTACATATGAGCGAAAACATTCAATCCTTGATTTTTTTTTAATCTGATTTATTTCACTTAGCATAATGTTCTCCACTTACATCCAATTTTGGGCAAATGCCATAATTTCATTCTTTATGGTTGAGTAAAACTTCATTTTATATATGTGTGTGTGTGTGTGTGTGTGTGTGTGTGTGTATTACATTTTCTTAATCCATCCATCTGTTGATGGATTGATTCTATAATTTGGCTACTATGAATTGTGCTGCCATAAATACTGATGTGGCTGCATCACTGTAATAGGCTAATTTTAGTTTATATGGAATAAACTAAGGAGTAAGAAAAGTTGGGTCAAACGGTGATTCCATTTGTAGTAATTTGAAGAATCTCCACACTGCTTTCCAGAGTGATAGCACTAAATTGCATTCCCATCAACAATGTGTCAGAGTCCCCCAGCCCCACATCCTCACCTGCATTTTTTATTTGTATTCTTGATAATTACCATTCTGGCTGGGGTAAGAGAAAATCTCAGTGTAGTTTTGATTTCCATATACCAAACTTAATTGCTAGAAATGTTGAAATTTGTTTTCATATTTGTTGATCATTTGTATTTCTTCTTTGAAATTTCTTCTTTTGCCCATTTATTGTGTTATCTGTATTTATGTTGTTAAGTTTTTTGAGTTCTTTAAGTATTCTGGATATTAATCCCATTCAGAGTGAATAGCTGGCAAAGATTTTCTCCCATTCTATGGGCTGTGTCTTGATGCTCTTAATCATTTTCATTGTTGTGAAGAAGCTTTGATGGTATCTTACCCATTGGTTCTTATTTTCTTATTTTTATTTCTTGAAGTTTAGGGGTTTTGTTAAGGAAGTTGGTGCCTAGTTGGTGCCTGCAGTAATATGATGGGTTGTTGACCCTACATTTTCTATTGCTTTCAACATTTCTGATATAATTCCTAAGTCTTTGATCCACTGTGACTTTTGTTCAGGGTGATAGATAGGGATCTAATTTCATTATTTTAGAAATGAATATCCAGTTTTCCCAGCATCATTTATTAAAAAGGCTATCTCTTCTCCAACAATTATTTTTGGGACCTTTGTCAAGTATCAGATGACAGGGACAGATCAATATGCAGCTAAAATATTAAAACTGAACATTTGTTATATGCTTTTTAACTTAGCAAAAAGGTACTTTGATATTTCTTCCAGATACATTGAAAACAAAACATAAAAGCAATGTTTTTTAAGCATTTTTGAAATCCTGAGAGTGGGAAACAAACCTTACATATTGTTAAGATGTAAAGTGATTCATAGAATTGATGTAATTTATATATTTTCCACCAAAAATACCTATATACTCTATGATAACAGTAATATTTAAACTAGGATCTATTAATAAAGTTAAAAATAGCTAAAATTATTACCTCCAGTTATTTTTTACAAAAATTACTGATATAATCCCAAATATAATAAACCTATAACTAAACAATTTTATTATGATGTAAGTAAATCTACACCAAAATATCATTGTTTCTTCAGTAGGTTCAAATTCCAAACAGAGATATCTTTAGTAGTACTCTCTGAATTATAAAGTAAATTAGCTGCATTTGGCACATACAGAAAAACATAACACTTTAATAATTAAAGTTGTTAGTGAGCTTGTGAAGATATGCAATTCTCACAGTGTTAATTAAAATTCAAAATGTACCCAAATAGAGCAAGAAATATTTATTTATTTAGAAAGCTTACTAATCTCAGCAGATCTCGAAGGTACTGGGGGTGGTTGTGTGCCATTGTGAGTAGGTATGGAGGACTGGTGTGATACTGGAGAAAATGGAATCATATCAAAGATGTCAGTGGAGGGTGACTTCGGTGTTACACTGCCAGCCTGCAATGAAGATGATATGAATTAGGTTGGCATTTCATATAAGCACTTATCACATAAGTATTTCAAATGCATAACAATACACACAAATAATACATATAAACAACAAATTTTGTTGAATCATATAACTTGACATTCTATAGATCATGCAATAAAATAAAACAAAATAAAATACACATTCTTCAATAAGCACCCCAATTAATTTGACAATAGGTCAGCAGTCAAGCAAAGATGGTATACTAAAATAGGCTAGTTCATCCTCTGATTATAAATAATTCTTAAAAAACAAAAAATTAACAATTTCGTGTGGCTCAAACTGTGGTAAAATGCTCATTTGCAAGAAAGCAATGGAAAATGTCTGCAATATTCTCAAAGATGATGGCAAAAAGGGTGAAAATGCTAGTTTATATGGATACCCAAGAAGCTAAAATTATTTCAACTTGTATCAGACAATTAGAAACATGTTAGAAACTATATGTATAAGGAAGTGATTTCAGTAATACATTTTGTATAAGGTTATCAATTTTAAATAGAAATAATTGAATGTAAGTAACTCATCTTCCCAAGTATAGATTTATATGAAATGAACAATTTATATATTTTTAAAAACTAAAGTATATTTTAATTTGTATTGATAAGTACAATGACAATAAACTGTTATTTATTGTAATTTATCTCATTTCTGAAAAATTTCATCTTGTTTTCTATAATAAATAGGTGTCTTCTAAAATAAATTAATAATCACCAAGATACCAATAATATTATTGAATTATCAGATAAATGTTTGTCAGGACTAAACAAATGCAGAGAAAAAAAATGAAAATGTAGCCAAGTAGTAACATGAATATGAAACAATCATCAATTTACCAACCAGTGGAAAAATATATATGTGTGACCTCCTATGAAAACTATCTCATCTGATCAGGAATGAAAGAAAAAGAATTTCCCTTCTGAAGAGGGATACAGGAAAAAATGTGCTTTTCCTCTACACCATGAACAGGGATAGTCTCAAATGGTTCTTACTGAAGTTACAGATCTAAGACTACACTCATTTTTCTGATTCACTGATGTTGCATGAGAGAAATATACATGAGGTTGATTGTGTACATATAGAGTGAAAGGTTTCCAATTCTGTTAAAATGATTTTAAGTGCATTTCTTCAAGCGGCAAAATTGTGTCACCCTTTTGTTAAATATTGAATTACTGTACCCCTTGCCCTTCCTTCTTATTCAGGAATAATATACTTCCCATATCTCCCTGGCTTCCATATCTTCTTCCTTTCTTCTCAGGATGTAAAAATATTTAAATCTTGCCTGTCATTAAAAACAAAACAAACTGACCAAAAATGCCTTTACTCTTTACTCCTCCTGCCTGTTGTCTTTCTTTCTCCTCCCTTAAAGTCTAAGCTTCTTGAAAGAGACAGTAGTTTTCCTTTTCCAACCACTTATTTAATTTCCATCTAAACTCTGTTCTTTTTGCACTGAAATCTACTGAAGCTGCTTGTACCTGTATCACCAAGGACCTGATTTCCCAATTGCCGTGACTGGTGGGTCCTTGAGGTACTTTATGTACTTGTCCTATTTCATCTTTTAGATTTCTTCATTATAACCACCCTCTACTTGAAACTCTGATATCAGGGAACCAAAAGAAATGAACATGGCACACAGAGACTCCTCCTATTCTATCACATTAATTCAAGACCTACCTGACTTTTTTATTAGTATAGAAATGGCACATTTCTGGAAGTATAAAAAATTAGGGGGATAATAAAAGAAATTTACTGCTTTGAAAATTTACATGTGGTCTTGAAATGCTGCGCTGACTGACTGGCCTGGGAAGGCCACTTTTAGAAGGCGGTGGTATTAACAGTCCCAGTGACAGTCTGGAATCAGGCGAGTTGACAGGAGGGACAGAAGTGGAAGACATGTTTAGACAGGGAGATGAAGCGTCACCACTACGCCAGAAAGTGGATGAGCATCTCTGAAACCTGTGTGGCTCATGACCAGACGTTCTGTGCAGCAGCTGCGAAACAACGACAGAGAGAAAAACACTAAGGAGAATAAAGAACACAAGGAGGAATGGGAAGGATACATGAAAACGAATGTGTAAAAAAGGGTGTTTTGTGAAAATATGATTATTTCATAATAATGTTAAAAAATTAAAACATGTACTTCAAGTTGATTTCTCCTACTGTGAGGGTTCTCAAGATTCTCACTTGCTTAGCTGGATCGTTTTTCAGGGAAATATTTTGTGTTTAGATATTTAAAATAGAATATTGTTTTCATCAGGACCTGAGAGAAAGGGATTAGAGCAGGGAATGAGGAGAGCCCCAGTTTTATTTTGGAGAAGTCCTTGGGGTAATGAGATGGAAAGAGAAACTATTGCAATAAGAGAAGATTAGTCACTGAAGGAGGAGTAACTCTCTTAAATAATTTATAGCTTTGTAGAATCTACAAAAAATGGGTTACACTATGTGTTTTAGATTTAATCTTCAAATCAGTCTTTTCCAATGTTACTAATGGCAAGAGTAACATGTTTTTATTATAATAGGAATTAAGACCCATAGATCTGTGACTTATTCTTCTATGACTAAGAAACATAGCCAAAATTCAGAACAGTATCCAGTCACGGTGACCTTCCTTACAAAGTGAGGAGTTTCTAATGGCAAGGCACAATGGAAATGGGGAGAGACTCTTTAAGAATCTCAAATAAATCACAGAGATAATTAAAAAAAAATAAGCAAATAATACCCTGAACTGGGTCTGAATATCAGTCTTTGTAAGGCTTCTGGGGGTTATTTCCCTAACCACATAGAAACCTGCTCTCAAGAGCTGAGCTGGAGAGAACACTGACCTGCCAGATGCCACAGAAGTCAATTAAAACAAGCCAAAATGAAAGTAACCATTAGGCCTTTACTCTGTGATCCCATTAGCACAAGGCCAGAAAGAATGTGCCTGTTCCATCAATGCTCCATTTTCCCCATGAAATGGCAGTGGGCAAAGTTCAGAAGCATCACTGCAGAAGTGGGACATTGCCTCATTGCTGAGGGAGCCTGAACAAGAAGTTCCTAAGGGTTTTGCGCTGTTGTTGGCCAATGGTCCTGAGAGAGGAAAAAGTGTGAAGCTAGGAGTAGAAAAGTACTAAAAACTGAGTCATAGAGGAAACAAAAAGGCAGTTTGGGCAAAAGCACTCAAGGCAGTCTCAGCCAATGACCCTGTAAAGAGGCCTCTGAATAAATGATCGAAATGCAGAAATACATGAAAGCATGGCTGTCCAGCGGGGCGAGTGCTTGGCTCAATTCCTCCAGCTGTTCACTGATCCTGATGGAATGGGGAGAGCAGCTTCCCCAGAGGGCTTGCTTGGGAGCTTTGACAATCCCAGGTGATCAAGGCTGAAAGATCACACACTGGGTGTGGGTCTGGACTTGGATTTCCCAGCTGCCAGTCACACTTCAACGATTTTTCAACACCAAGTAAGACTTAGAGGCAGCCAATTTTGATAAGCTTCATTGTGAAGAGTTACCAAACTAAAATTAGAAGAGACCTTAGAGGATGACCTTAGCTGTTTCTCAATGAATGCTTCATCATCCCAACCCCATTCTCTAGTCTTCGTGTACATTCTTTGTTACCCCATGTCTTTTAATAAAGTCCTTTTCCTTTTTTTTTTTTTAAAAAAGAAGGGACCAACAAGTTTGAGGGACATCCTCTACCTGGGAGTCACCTCTTTACACATTGTAGAAGCAGATGGGGAAAGGAGACAGTGTAAAGTTAAGTATTTACATTGAACGAAGGGTGCAGTGAGGAAGAAACATCTCTGATCATTTCAGTTATATATCACACTATTAATATGTATATAGCTCTAAAATTATTGACTTCCCTCTTGATCTCCGTAGTGATGTTTCTTCATCTGTTTAACTACATAAAGATAATTCAGGCTATAATTTAAAAAATTCATTTTGAGCATATATCTTTTAGTGAGTGATTCTGTCATTAGTGGCCTCTTTATACTTAATTTTCTGGTTACAATTAAAAGCTCCCTATGCCAGCAATTTTGTTTTCCAAAATACTCTATATAACATATTGCAGTACTATATACATAAATGTATGTATTTTATGAATAAATATTAAATTTTCAGTCAATATTTGCCTAAATTTACTATATTTTATGTAAAGCATAAGTTGTCCATATTTTTAGTAAAGTATAATAAAATAGTAAGTAGTAAATATCCTTGGTATCACCTGAATTAAAAATTAAATGGAAATATTCTATATTGGTTTATGACATATAATGGCCAAAAGATATTCACTAGATGCTTCAAAACAGACTGAAGACCAACATAACCTAATACAAAAGCACTCTAGTATTTTTATCATGGTGTTAATACTATGGATTCGCATAGCACTACTTTCTGTGGGAAGGTACATGTAAAAATGATGTTTGTATACAAGATGAAAATAATCAAGTATTCAAATTCCCCAATTAAAGGCAGTTTCACTTTTAAAATGGATACAGTAGGCATATCTGGTAATGCAATAATTCGGGTATAGTGAGTTTAAGATTAACATTCTCTCCACAGGTCTTTTTTGTGTCATTGGTAATTTGGCTTTTTTTTTTTCCTCCCTGTTTGGGTCATGTAGATCTTTTAAAATACTGAATTAGTTGTTTCCAGGTAAAATAAAGAGATTTCACATAAAATTCAGACTACTCCTTGAGATTTAGCAACATAAAGTTGGCCCACGGACTTACTATCTACTGAGTCTCTGAAGTGGGCCTGTGCTCTCAAATTTATTGCTACCTCCACATGCCCATATCACACTCTTCTGTCACAGCCTGGGCTTACTGACATTTGGGTTTGTGATTCCTAACCTAGGAATAATTCATGTCAAGAAATTAGATGTAATATCTCTTTCATTGTAAGAAAGAAATCTAAGCCTGGCACAATGAAGTATGTGAGTATATGTCAGCAGCACCTAATTCTTCACCAGTGTTTATTAAATAGGAATAAGTATATGGACATAGCAACTAAATGGTATACAGTAACATTTTTGTCACTAGATTAAATGTTTTGTGTGGTTTGACTAAGTGTAAGATTTCTGGAATTATTATTAGTTTTTAGCAGTTATTTTTAGCTACTTAAGACTGTTCATTTTTTTTAAAAGAATTAATTACTTTGCTTAGATAAAAGCTTGATCTTTGGGGATTTCTTCTGTCAGTATTTTGACAAATGGTTAGAAGCCAAATATTTTAGGCTGTCCCATATGATCACATGGCACCACTTCTTAACACACCCTTTATGCTTATAATTCCAAGTGTTATGATCTTCAGGAGTATGCACAGGATTTAAAATGTAATGCTAAGAGAAAATCTGTGCTTACTGTTAATTCTGCAGAATTTGTTAGGTTATTAAGTTATATTAATAATGAGTGTCAATATTTGATATTTGTTGTTGCTGAAATTTTGTAGCTATTTTTTCTCAGTAAGTTGTGGCTTTAGGTACATTTAGGCCATAGCACAGCTTTACAGTAAATGTTTCAGCGAGGTAAAGTGCCACAACAGTGTTTGAATCCTGTCAATAAATCCTGAGCACTTTTAAACTAAAGCAAAAACAGAATTTAATTTTAAAAAGTTTTGTGATAATATCTCTAGAAATATTGACACTTAAATATTATTAGTGCTATTAAGTTGCATTGGTAATAGAAATCCCTAAATACCTTTTAAATGTAAAACAAACAATTTCCAAGATAAAACAGCTATGAAAATAGTGAAGATTCAAAATTCTATTTAGGATTAAGTTTAAAAAGTGAATTCTTTCAAGTTTATAATTCAAATAGAGATGTTTTATTTTTTTTCTTGTTAAAAGAATATTAAAAAACTCTGATGATGGGACAATATAACAATATAATGGTAAGTGTACAATGTTCTAGCAGACCTTTGTAGATTGTCATGCAGATTCATACTTCCAAAATTCATTCTTATGCCATGTTGTCAACATCACTTCTTAAATAACTTTCAAATGTAATGAATTTTCCAGTTTAAACTTAGAGCACTAGGAATATTTTTTGTTTACTTGTTTGTTTTTCAGTTTTCTAGGTCCATAGCTGGCTTATATTCTTTCTTATTTGTAAGACCTACTATCACATAGTTCTCACAAGGATCTTGCAAATTAAGTGGAGATGATTATCCACAAAGAACGGAGAAACCTGAAAGAAGGAGTGGCTATAAGACTTGACCAGGTACTTCTAGTCACAAATGAAATGAGAATGGATTTACCTCTCATTGAATGGAATTTGCTCTTTTTGAATCATTTTTTACACAACTAGCAATTATGAGAGTGAAGTTGTGGACTGGTAATTCACTTTTTGTGGACACCAAATGTTCTTGTACCAATGTTCATGTTTAACATTTATGCCTTTGTTTAAAGATTTGCATTGGCTTGTTGTGTAATTGAGACTTTTCACAATCTGCTCTTGCCCATCCTGACTTCAAGAGTAGGTTAGAAAGCACTAGAAAAAATAAACAAGCAGGTTTGTTTACCCACAGTGAAATACATGTTTTAGGTCATAATTGTCTTATCAAGTCTAATCAGGGGCTGCATAGTTGATTACATAAAAGTAGAATTTTATCTAATATTGGGTTTAACTGAAAGAGAACATTTATTTAACTCTGCAATAGAAAAGACAGTATTCCGTAGAACTACAATTTTATTCATTTAACTTTCTGGCAATAGTCTGATTTGGTTTCTAGAGCCAGCAAAGTTAAATGTAAGCACTCAGATGTAAGAGTCAAAAGGAACAATTTGATTTAACTTTCTATACCCACATCTTATAATGGAACAATCTTCTAGAGGTGTTCATGAGGCTAGGAGGGCAGAATAAACCCTTTTTCTAATATAAATACAGGCAACCCTGCCATGTGAATGTAATAAATGGAAATCAGATTGTTCCTAGATAATTAGAACCAAATGGTGGAAAACCCAACCTCTAATCTATTGCCAAACCACTAGAACACAGCAAAAAGCAAACAGCACAGTCAAGTAACGGAAATTTCTCAGTGTATCTAAATGATCGTTTAAAATAAGGACCCAATTTCTAAAACCAGTGAAAAGATTTCCACAATCTCGGTGTGTTGCAGAGGTATGTATTATGGGTATTATCAAAAGATATTTCATTTGCCAGAAAAGAAACCCATGACTAAACCAATTGGTGGTATTTAGGAGACATGTAAGCATTCTGGTTTGGGCTGGTCAATTGTGAAGAACCATCAGTCTTGGGAGCCCATGTCACATAACACACTGAAAGCTCCTGGAGAATACTAGGACAAATTAATTGTATAAAATAAACCCATCTATATCATAATTTCAGTGTACATAATGGGATTCATTATTCATTTCAATTCTTCCCTAAAATATGGATTGCTGATTAATCCTTGAATCAAAGTATTGTGGACTTGACAGTTTGGGAGAATTCTATCCTCTGAACTCAAAACAAACAAAACACACAAGGATTCCTCTCCAGAATCATAAGCTCAATGAACAGTCACTTTGCCTGCTTGGGGGGTTCTGTGAGGTGCTTTGTGTTCTGGCTCTAGATTCTGTAAAACTGATATTCAAATTTCAAAAGAAAAAAACTGATGTAAAACATTTTTAGTTCAAAAGAAATTTGATTGCTCCAGCATGATGGCAAGAAATTAAACAAGGGATGCTCGTATTTTAAGTTTATACTCAAATTATTTACAATTTTCATTGTCTTTTTCAAATTTAACTTCAATTGCTTCAATCATCAACAACTCCTCTAAAGTGGCAACATTTCATACTAAATAACTGTAGATAAATTTATTTTTAAATTTTAATATCAGAAAGTTGGTAGCTCATTTTAACAGATATGAAATAAATATACTTGCACTCAGTGTTACATTACTTTATTTCACAGCTACATAATTAAGCTTATAAATGAAAGGCAAAAGTGTTTGTTCATAATCTGTTTAAAAAATGAGAGCAAATCAACAAATGCCTGTAACAATATTTTCAAAACCATTTGATTTAATCAGTTATGTCAGTAATTTACATTTTAAACATTGACACTTAATTTCACATTTAAATTTTAGCAGTTTAAAAATATTCCTGAGGTCATTTTATTTTGAGAATCAAATAATTTCTATTTTCCTTTGTTCACAGGCATATTTCTTTTGTTCACATACATATTTATTTGGGGTGAGAATATTTAAAACACCCTGGTAATTCTCAAGGATTATTGGTGGTGCCATGTTGTACAGAATTCTTCCTGTCAAACTGAAATTTTGTTTCTTTTGATCCAAGTCTCACCTTGTTCAGCCTTCCCCACTACACCTCTGTAGGCTGTAACCATCATTCTGTTTTCTCCTCTTGTGAGTTAGACTTTTTTAGAATCCACATATAAGTGACATGATGCAGTATTTGTCTTTCTGTGCCTCATCTATCTTACTTAACATGATTCTGTCTTAGAGAAGATGTATATGTTCTAGTGTATGAGATTTAATCTTACATGATTAAAATTTTTTAAATTTTAATCATGTAAGATTAAGATTAAGGTAAAGAAAAAGCACAAAGATATTACTGTGGCAAAAGAATATAAATACACTACAAAGTTAGAATTTGAGTTATTTTTACAATGATTATTTTCTACACATGAGAATTAAGTGTAAAATGCAGAGAAAATGATTTCTTCTTTTGATTCATCCTATTAACTGTAGTCTTTGAAGCATGCATTCAGATAGATTCAATCTGAGATGAACACAACACCTAAAATAATTATTAAGTGGGCTAATATTTTAAAAGCCAATTCATCTTAATGACTAGCTATTTTAATAGGTTTTTGTTTGTTTTGTATAACTGATTCTACCAATGAAAACTTCTGAATAAATGAATATGCTCACATTCTGTCTTTCATTTACATTAACTTTCTTGCTTACCACATATAATAGCTATTTCAGTCAAGTGGTCAAAAAAACGAATGTTAATGATCATCACATCATTCCTTTTACCCCTTACCATTTCTAAAGGTGAGTTGGTAAACCCAAGAGATAATCAGGACCAAGCCCAACCCATCCTCTCATTAGTTACACCAGTTCTATTTCTGAACATTGACAACTTGGAGGACACAGGAAAGAAGCAGGGGGAAGCAGTTTTATTAACATGCCTCAAATCCCTCTAATCCTCCCAAATCTTGCTCCTCAACATGGTATCCTCAGGGTTCCTTCTTCAAATAAAGCGGAAACACAGTGGAAAAGCTCTCCTTCTGTATCCAAAATGATGATGCATCCATTTTATACCTTTGCCAATACAAAAGCATTTGTCATAGATTCTACAAACAACTGTCTTTAAGACTCCTTGAAAAAGTAACTTCCTCTTTATTTTTATATTTTGTCTCATAGAATAGTTTATATAAAGTCTCAACAAAAAGGGTACACATTCCATTTGGGGACCAAAAGTTGAAGAAAGTTTTGGAGCGAATTTTATGTCACTTGGGATGAAGGAGGCAAGAGAAAAATTGTAATCCTTGAGAGTAGTAAACAGTGAAGAGAAAAATTAGGAAGGCATAATTATAATAAAATCAGAACTCAAAGAGGATACCCCGCCACCTCAATGTGCTTCTCATAGTTACACGGGTACCTTCCTGGGAACCTCTGTCTTTTCAGCCACATCAGTCCCACATTACAAAACCTATGACAAGCAATGGAAAGCCCAACTCTCTCCGTGTGAATGATGGAAAGTGTGAGTTTATAAATAAAATTTTTTTTTTGATCCATCTCCAGGGCATGCCACATTTGAATCCATAAGTCAAATTTCTTTCTTTCTTTTTTTTTTTTTTTAAAGAATTTAACCTTTATTTTTATTTATTTATTTTTATGTGATGCTGAGAATTGAACCCAGTGCCTCACTTATGCTAGGCAGGCACTCTACCACTGAGCTACAACCCCAGCTCCATAAGTCCAGCTTTTTATAGAAGCATTTTTCATAATGATGAGCTGGTGAACTATTTGAGTTTTTAGATGTAAACAAAATTACATACCTACATATACAAATTTTCAAAATTCTTTCAAAAGTTTACCTAGACCACAATTGTGTTTCATAGTATCATTTAATAAGTTATATATTAATTTTAAATAATTAATAATATCAATAAAATATAACATTAACAGAGATCAATTACAGTGGTACAGAGGATTCAAAAGGAAAAAAAAAGTCCTAAATACATTTTGCCTACAAAAAAAATATTGTTTTCAATTTCAATTACTTTCAAAATATATCCTCCTGCACAAATCAAATAATAATGATGTCATACATGGTATTAGGAAAAGGATTTCAAAACTGTGGCAAGTCAGAAATAAATAATTTAACTACAAGTACTTGAGTGTTGTCGGCAGAAGCAACCACTTATTTTAGTGTCTGAAATAAAATTGCCTCACTCCCACTGGGAACGCTTGCCATGTAATATAAGAAACCATGTTTAGTCTCGTTATCAGTCCATTTCCTATAACAAAGTTCAGCACTCCAGGAGTAGACAGGCATGGGTCAGTAAAACTGACCTCAGTAAATGCTAATCAATAAGAGTGAAAGAAAGAATAAACCACAAACAGAAAGAAAATCTTAAACCTTAGGACCACATGGGAGGTTGAATTATTTTAGAAAACAACATGGAAAACAACTCTGGCCTGAACCCCAGAAGCAATTTTAATTTTTAATTATCCTGGTTTATCAGGCTTCATCCCTATCTATGTTTAATTTTAAATTATGAAACACAAAGTATTATAATTTGTTGCAGAATTTACAACTCAGAGAATGTTTTATCACCATATGATCTTGTTTTAAGGAAAGCATACACATATTCAATACACTTACTGGAGATGTTGATACTTGAGTTATTCTCAACTGATTTTCCAAATCTTGTACTTTATTTTTAAGTTCCGTATTTTCTGTTTCTAAGTCTTGGATCTAAAAAAGCAAATGAGTACTGAATAACTTTCAGAAGTATTTCTTGGTAAATATTGGCTATTACATTGACTACATTAACAAATAACATTTTATTTTATTTACATATGTATTTTTTAATATACTCTTTTGTGCATAGGGGAGAAAATTATTTTACAAAATAGGAATTATAGAGGATTCTAGGTCACTGGAAAGATAAATTCAATTTAAAGTACATTTTATGTGTGTGCAAATTTTATGTTCCTAATGTGTCATCTTTGTGTTTTCTTGTTGCACTGTGCAATCTATACCCATAATCTTGGAGTATAACCACAAGACAGTGAAACTTGCCTATGATGTTTTGAAGAGTGGAGAAAGGGTGTAATTTAATTACAAAGGAATCTGATCTGCATGGGAAACCACTTACCCAGCATCTGCTGCTTCTGCTGCTCTGATCCCCATGAGAAGCATCAGGAAGTGAAGCAAAGTCACATGAGAACACTAAGTTCTTGTGGGAATTCAATATAAAATAGTTAAAAACTGTGCAGGGGATCAGGAATGAAAAATTATAGGAACACAGTGAAAGCAGTTCCAATCAGTGTGGGGGAAATTTAATGGCAGGCCTTCTAAATTTGTTTGATGATATGCAAGCTTCCCTGTACTTACAGCATACAAATGTGAAACAACAAGCTTAGTTTACTCACTCTTTTCTGTAACCCTGCAATCTGTTTTCTTGTTTCAACATCTTTTCCTCCAGATTCTAGAAATTTCCTGTATGCCAGGTCAAATGCTTGGCCAATTGTTAAAGTTATCTCTTCAGCCTTTACCAAAAAATCAAACAAAAAAGATTTGCATTTTAATCATAATATCTCAAACTGTACTTTAAGAGAACACACTCACATGAGGTACTCTAAGACATTCATAGGAGGTACTTCAAAGGAGCAATAGATAGGGACAGGGATGAGTAAATAAGTGAAGGGGGCCATGCTAACATTAATTCAATGCCTACCCAAGTAGGACAATTACGTGTGGGGGTGGAGGAGGCCACTAATGAACCACATAAAGAGCTATTGAGTTTAGAAGCGAGAATTCCTTCTTTATGACTTTTTATTTCTTTTATTGTATTTTTTCCTAGTTGTTTTCCTCCCCTCCCCAAATATTCAGTGCCTATTAAATGAAAAAACAATGCTAAGTGCGATTTCTCTTGTTGCTCTGTTCTTTTCTTTCCCTAGTGAGAAAATGTGGCTAAATGCTGAGCAGGTAACCTGAATGAGGCCACCTGGGTGGAGTCTGTGGAAAACTTGAGGAGCACAATCTTTAAATGAGGCAAATTCTGTTCAGTTCCACTTAATCCTTGTCTAGTAGAAATGAATAATTCCAATCCAGAACGGTCAGGTTTTAAGTATGCAAGATGAGGTCAGAAACCCGAATTGTAATGGGAGATCTCCCAATTTTAAGTGAAAGCGAACCATTTGTATTTTTGTAAAGCAAGGTGGATTGAACAAAATATATTTGTCATCTGAATTCATCCTGGTAAATAATTTACCATCTATGATCCGTCACCTAGAAACTGCCAAAAATATCCACCAGAAAGTCCACCAACTCATTCTCTCTCCATTCGTATCTTCACTAATTTTCATGGAGTCTATCATGAAGTCCACATTAAAAAATATATTTATTTACTATGTTAACATTTAAAAAATTAGAATAAAAGTATGGCAAACATATTGAAGAAGACAAGTATAATGTTTTAATGACAGAAAAACTGATAGAAACAGTATTGAAAAGACTATGCTTTAATTAATCTACTGAATTTCTAATACTTCATGATACACTATGATTAATCTAGTGTAAAAAAACAATCTATTATTAAAGCTTAGACTATTTAATTGACAACATCATTTTTGGAGCTCACTATTTGTTTAAGGAGAGCTTTAGCTATGAGAAAATATTTATAGTGCTTAACTGAGCTAACTAAAACATGCGAAATATGTACATAAAATTGTATAGAAGGCCCAGTTGTATTACAAAAATGTAGGGAAAAGACAAAAAAATAAACTATGATAAGTTACAATAAAAATACTAATGAAATGAAAATGCCAGATACCAACTTATGTATGCTTAGTTATTCAAGTCAATGAAAAATATTTAAGGAAAGAAATTAGTTGTGGCACATACTTGGATCATATGTAATATTTAAAAGTAGTGAAAGTGATAATGATAGGTTGTGTGATTCTCAACATATTTTTCTATTTCTAATGTAAAAAATTGGGGTAACATGTTTTTACTTTATTTTACAATAAAATATTTATATTTCATTGTGATTTATTTTCTCCTTTTTAAATCATGGTTTCAGGGCTGGGGATGTGGCTCAAGTGGTAGCGCGCTTGCCTGGCACGCGTGCGGCCCGGGTTCGATCCTCAGCACCACATACAAAACAAAGGTGTTGTGTCCGCCAAGAACTAAAAAATAAATATTAAAAAAAAAATTCTCTCTCTCTCTCTCTCTCTCTCTCTCCCTCCCTCCCTCCTCTCTCACTCTCTTTAAAAATAAATAAATAAATAAATAAATAAATAAATAAATCATGGTTTCAATGTCATTGTGTTATCCTCAAATTCTCACTGTGTATACAACAATCCTATAAATGATAATGTTGATGATAGATTATTAACAATAGTCCACTTCATATTGTTTATGATAGTGACTTTTTAACAATCATATTCTCTTTTTATAACAACAAATACTTACACTTACGAAGCATGAAACTATCTTGTAAGTATTCTGTATATATTACCTTTTTTGATTCACATAATGACTCTGACATGAGATTATTATCTCTACAATATGGAGCATAAAACTTCAATTCTCTATGGTTGAATATCTTGCCTAATATCTCAGTGAGTGGAGAAACCTGAGTTCAAATCCAAAATGTCTGATTCTCCAAATTGTGTATACAATACACCACCTGTGTATACATATACATATACATTTTGGAGGGGGAAGTGTAGGAGGATAAAATTTATATACCATGAAATGTACACATCATAATTGTACAATCAGATGTTTTTTGATAAATGTATATAAGTACCATATAAATTAAGACATAAAATATTGTCCTCTTAGAAAGTCTTCTGTGCCTACTGCTAGTCAAATCCCATCTATTATGGACAGTTGCTGCTTTAATTTCCATGACCATGGTCAGTTTTGCCTATTCTAAATATCAATAAAAAATGAATCAAACAGTACTTGTTTCTTTTGTGTCTGGCTTCTTTTAATAATGCAATGTGTTTGAGTTTCATACACACTGCATGTTTCAATAACACATCTGTTTTATTACTGATTTAGTTTTTCATGTTATGTATAGACTATAACTGGTTTATCCATTTTCCTATTGGAGAACCTTTATGGTGTTCCAGTACTTAGTTATTATAAATAAAAAACTACAAACATTCGTGGAAAAATCTTTTTGTTGACATGTTTCTGAGTAGATACCTAGAAAGTAAAAATTACTCTATCATAGGATGAGTCTGCCAAATGGTTTTCCAAAGTAATTATAACATTTCACATTCCAACCAGGAGTAAGAGATTTCTAGCTGCTCCACATTCTAACCAACATTAGACATTAAGTCTTTTTATCTTGAGTCATTTTACTAGGATTAGTGACACTCTATTAAGGTGTTAGTAATGTTTATAGATTAACATACAATTCTTATTTTTAATAAACTACAATGCATCTTTTAGACATGTTTAATGCTTTTGTGATCATTTCCAAGAAATCACTGTAATTCAAAACTCACATGTATTTTTCAATATTGTGAAAAATGCAAGTGCTATGTAAGAATATAAAAACTTCCATTTTTAAGTTGACCCACCTTAAGTTATTTTTACACAGCATAAGTAGGGGTAAATTCTTTGTAACTTAAAAATATACTTAGCTACTTGTTTTAGGACTATTTGTCAAAAGACTACTTTCTTAAATTAATTATCTGTTCATATTTTCATAAAATAGACTATATGTTTGGATATATTTGGACTCTACAATATTGCTATTATTTGTCTACCATTACCTTGGTACTACTCTGCTTGATAAAAATTTTTTTAAAGTAAGTTTTGAAATCAGGAACTTTATGTCGTCCCCCCCGACTCTGGTATGTCTTTGAAGATTAAATTTTTATTTTCATGACCATTTGTTTTATCATATTAGAGGTAATTTCAAATTTCTTCTAAAATTACCACTGTGATATGATTGTGAATTTGTCTTTTTCTATTATATTTTTAAAAATGAAACAGAAAATCTAATAGAAAAAGACATGAACATATATTGGTCCTTTAATCATTATGACACCTTTAATAGGATTCTTTAATCATTACTAGCACCATTTTTTTCTTTAATTCCCTGAATACATTTGTAAAGCAGCATAGCATTGCAAATAAATTTTAAAAAGTTTTCTTTAACTCTAACCTTCACCTTTGCCCTTGCCACCTTTGTGGATGTAATGCCTGAAGTTTATCATTCTAGATAAAGGTTATAAGCACTGCACTTATTTATGTGTATGTACATGTTCACATACGCTCTAAGTGTAGAATGATACTAAATTTTGATTTATAGCAACTTTTTAGTCTGGAACTCCGTATTACATATTCTATTCCTTTATTTCAGCTGTATTAATTTCACCAGTATCACATTAAATATGAGTGATATTAACTTAAAACAATAATCTTAAAATATAATCTATTGTGTTCACAACTATGTAAAACAATTTATATCTGCAGTCACAATCGCTTTTCCCCTACAATATTCTTTAAATGAAATCTATTTTTAACATAGAGATGAAGAGCTAAACATTTTAAGAAACATAAATCTGCCTTCTGAAATAACTTATGAAATATGGAACAGTATTTTGAGTTTCTGCCTCAATAATGTTAAAGTTCATGTCTTTATTAGTATGTCACACTGGTTTTCTACATTACAAAAAGTGTATTTTAGTCAATAAACTTTATGTAGTATAAACCTCGGAATTCAACTAAAATCATATTCAAATACCTATGACAGAAATTACATACTCTGATGCTTCACTGGTTATTAGAATAAAATATCTGGTTATACATAATATCAGATCACAGAAAAAGATCTCAAATCAAAATAAATAACTTTAAAATTTTCTAACTATAATTTAATTTTAATAGTTCATAAAGCAAAGTATGTCAATTGAAATTTAAAAAATAAAAATGGCTTCATGCATATCTCATAATTCAAAAAAAGGAGATTCTCTAAATAACTACAACAACTTATTATTTGGGAAATATGTCATAGTCCTACAAAATTGTATTTTTAAAATCAAATAATGTTTCCTGACTCATAAATAAGGAATTTAATGATATGAATATATAATAAGAGAATTACACTTAGACAAATTTCATGGTTCTTGATTTAAATTATTTTAAAAAGTAAAAAGAGAAACAATAAGTAACTTTTAAGTTATTAAAATTTATTCATTTTTTATTCTAATTTGTTATATATGACAGCAGAGTGCATTACAATTCATATTACACATATAGAGCACAATTTTTCATATCTCTGGTTTTATATAGTATATTCACACCATTTGTGTCTTCATACATGTACTCAAGATAATTTTATCCATCTCATTCCACCATCTTCTTTACCCCTATGCTCCCTCCTTTTCTCTCTCACCCCTTGGCCCTGTTAGTTTTTTAACTCAATTAGCAATGTGGGAAGATCAATATAGGGCAGTAGCCCTATGTATTCCTAATAATTACACAAAATTTGAGCGCCTGGCTGAAAATATCAAATTGTCAG